TTTTTGTAACTAAATGTAAAAATTGGTAATGTTATTTTACTATTACATAGAGTTTTTCTTGCAAAGTTAGTGTATGAAATACAAAACTACCTGGTTTAATAAGATACTATACTCTGTAACGTCACTATTATGTTCAACTCGCGTACTATAAAACATGTATTAGAATTTAAATGTTGTAGGTGCTGGATGAGGAGATCTTAGTTTCGATTCCCTGTATTGGCAAATCAACTTTCTAAATTGGGTTCTGGTCTGGATCTGTTGGTACCACGAAGTGAATTCCATTTCTCTTCCTCATAGTACAGAGAGTTCTCTCGCTTGAAACTGCTGCAGGTGAAATTACAGGCACATGGGGCTTGTTAACTTATGTCTCAGGACGATGGGTGCAGTGTCAGTGCCCCTCAGATCTTTGTGATTTAAAGCTCTGAGTGGCACTGTAACTGTTATGGACAAGCGTGTCGCTTACCAGCAGGCGCACCACTTTTTTATCCCGTCACGTGGTATCATGAAAGAAAGAGATTAGGTAATAAGCATGTAGTGATCGCACATTATTATTTACATTACTATAGTATGCAGTGAAAGCAAGAAATAGAACCATAAAAATATTTACCGTCCTATATGACTCTATTAGTTCAGTGATAATAATATTACCACATTACCTATTTCTGCCGCCAAGCAGTAATGTTAGCATTACTGTGTTCTAGTTTTAAAGGGTAAGGGAGCTGGTGAAATTACAGGCACATGGGACTTGTCAACTTATGACTCAGGGTGACCGACGCAGTGGCAGTGCTCCTCAGATATTTGCGATTTAAAACTCTGAGTGGCACCGCAACTGTTATGGCCAGGCGTGTAGTTTACCATCACGCGTACGACTTCTTTGTCCCGTCATTAAATATTCAAAAAAAATATTAATAATATTTAATTGTCTAACGACAACAGACAACATTATATATGTTGCTCTTATCCCAAACTAAGTAACTAAAGCACTTGTGCTATGGAAATGTAACGGTATCACAAACATTCAGACCCGAGACAATATAGAAAAATTTGTTTCTACATTAACCCGACCGGTGATCAAACCCACAACCTTAGAGATGGCGACCATAAAAACTGGTGTGCGAACCACTTGACCAGAGACGTTGTCAATAATTTATTAATTTTGTAAAATTTACGAGAAATAAATCCGGATACCTGACCAACTTGACAAATGACCGACGCCACTCGCATGAGTCGTCTCTACAGGTGCCTTATCTTACCATCCAATCCACGGCAACGTCATAATGTCAAGATGGTACGAGGATGTTAATTAATTAAGAGACGAGAATGATTCTCAAACTTTATAACTTGAACTGTTGACATGCCGAAAGCAAAATATAGTAGTTACGTTAAGTATGGAGTCAACCCTTAAAAACTATAACATGAACTTTTAATAATAATAATTGAGGCTATTAGTGCAAAAACGATGTTACCCACGTTTATTTTTTTTTCTAGTATTTTAATTTTATTGAAGAAATTAATAGAGTGTCTGGGAAACTCGAAGATCGACAGCTACCTTGCCCAACGCATTGGCATAGCCGTTCAAAGAGGGAACGCTGCCAGCATCTTGGGCACCTTGCCGCGGGGACCCAATTTTGTTCATATAATTTAATCCTAGTTTTAGTTTCTAATATTTATGTTTTTATTGTAAGTTCCTTGTATATTTTAACTCATTGTCGTTCTACAATATTGCATTAAGTAATAATAAGTAATATAAAAAGTTATGTACATAATTTATATAATATTCGGATGCTATTATCAAGTATGTAAATATTGGTCACATATGATTAGTACCTTATATGAAATTATTTTGGCTAATTTTAAAATCCTTCATTATCTTCTAAATGGATTTCATGGGATTACATTACCTTTGCACTGATAATCTTCAATTTTATTTAAGAAGAAAGTACAAGATATTATGATTATAAGCAGCAATTAAAAATTTTAAGTTTGTAAACTCGAGAATTTCGATTGAAACCATCACTACCTATTCCAATATCGAGACCGTATCCATAGAATTCGCGGTTATCACATAACAAACCATCGGTTTGCTATACATTACACACGGATCATTGTACACGGCAAACAAAAAAATACGATTTTGTGAATGTGTGTGTGTGTATGTGTTTGTTTGTGTGTGTTGTGAATAGAAAAATATGATACTAGAGAAAAACTTATTTTAATACTAGAAAAATATTTTCTGCAGGGCTGCCCCCTATAGTATCATGATCAGAAGCCTGGCAACATCCCTTTGAATAGCTAAACTTCTACGAGGCGATCTGACTGGTCGGTCGCTAGAAGTTTTGCCTATGAGACCTACAATTTCAATGCACATATATACATATTATTGATTTTATCGTATAATCTCGGACTTCCTGCTATTAATATTGACGTCAAAAGGCAGTGTCGCATCGTTTGGCATCACAGATAGGGAATCCTTGTCGTCTGCTGAAAGAGTTTGGATTTAGGGGAAGATGACGTCGCTATACATGTTTTACTGCCTCACTGTGAGAACACCAGCTTCAGAATGTGGAATAATCTCTTGCTCTTGGTTCAAAATTGATTCTTCAACACCGCTTTTTGTGCACGTTCAAGAGCCAGTAGGCAAGTCTTACGTGCACCTAAATGGGGATGGTATTGATTCGCACAAACTGTGGCACACTAAGATAAGCGTATCTGAATAAAATTGAGGAATACTGATTGCTGAAACTTACTACAAGTGTAACGATGAGCTGATACAAAATGTTGAAAGCTTGGAGACTTGACCTGTTTCTCGATTAAAATGTTTCGTCATCGAAATATGAAACAACTGACGTTTTAGTTTAAAAAATATTTTTCCAGAGGAAACAAATATACTCTCCAAAGCCCAACTACTTATTCATATAAAAGACATCAACGACAGTGGGTACAATTTGATAATAAAATCATATACTTGATTATTCACCTCTAACTGGAGTAGGTAGACACGTTATGCTCTCACTATATTTCTTTGGCTTCTTAAATTCATATGGGACTGTCATACACACCCTAAAAATGTATATAGCCCTATATTTTAAAATATAAAAGTCATGTCCATCCACATTCTCTCTATTTACGAGTATTTGTATCGTTTTCCTACTAACTTTCATCCGTTAAATACCGAAACAACGGAAACTTACTTTTTCTGTTCTCGTCGCTACGTCATCTTTCACACCACTACATTTTCCGACTGTTCTTTATTTTGATTCTAAGAGTAACACTACAAACATAGCCAAATGCTCATCTCTCTACAGCATAACTTATTCCTTAATCGTGAATGTTACACATAGGAAATGAAACATGTTTTTCGGATATAAATCGCGTAGGTATATTCGTTTTTTTTCAAACAAACCTAAGTTTCGGACCCTTTGCAAGTCACATGGTCACGGTTGACTCAGTCAGTCACTCCCTATGCTTTCAGAAATTTTTGTGACATATCCAATATACAAGCCTGGGATTATTACGTCTCTCATTAACTACAAGGAAATGCATTTGAAAGAATTTGGCTAATAGAAGATTATTTGACCTAGTGAGATGTATTCGAATTGAAGTGTGAAATACGCTTCGAAAACATTTTTCTACGTAGGGACTATACATTACTTCTCGTTGAATACAACTACGCTGGAATGCAAGTCTACTCAAGAAGGAGTGAAAGACGCGATGACATATTATTTGATTATTTCATGTAATTAACTTTTTTAACCATGGAATTAACAACATATGAAGTAATGTTGTTTATAATTTTGTACGATTAATTATTATGCCGTGAGTTGTTATACACTATGTTGTTTTTACTCGTGTATATATGTATGTATGTCGGTTGTTGTTGACTAACGCTAGAGTTCCTTGTAAAGGAGTTCGTCCAGGATATTACTGCCACTTTACTTACTTCTGCCGCAAGCAGTAATGTGAGGTTTTGAAGAATAATGGTGCTGGCGAAATTATGGACAGACGTGTTGCTTACGACCACGTGCAAGACTTGTTCGCCCCGTCACTTGGTAGTATAAAAAAGGTATGTGTTGTTAATTTTTAATGTGTTCCTAACCTTTATAGGCTATGGTAAGATTTCATTAAGGGCTCTACACCACAAGTCTGTAACTGATCCATGTACACATCAGAAAAGTTTCTTTAAAGCCGAGTGGCCTAAGTAATATGTACGAAATTTTAAGCCCTAATTATGTAGTGATTGCATATAATACTTTTACTACGAGTAAATAAAATCATGAACCAGAACCAACATTTACTGTATATTTTATTAACAATCCATGACAACAAAAGCATTTTTCTTAGTAAATTTTAATTCAATTATTAGGGTAGGCGAAAGTTCCACCATACAGCCTCTTCATATATTTAGACGAAGGTAAATAAACGCTACAAAATAAAAAATTAAACAGATAAAATAGAACTGGCCAAGTACCGCATACACGTTAAACAATATTTTTTATATAAAGATTTATAGCCCAGTTACAAGACTTTTAGGCCAACTTAACCAATCAGGAGGCAGTATAGCGTTTGACTAGAGTTCTAATTTGATATTTTAATTCATTGACCTGTTTTCATTAGTAAAAATACGACGTTCCTTTTTTGAAACTCATTATAGTTCCGTGTACAGAACTTTAATGAAATTTTTCAGCTCAGTGGCGAGTACCACAGACAATAGAATTTTGATTCAGAATTCAGCGCCTATAGGATATCGTTTCTGAAATTATAATTGACAGATAAAAGTATAGGAGTAAATTAAAGTAACGTTTTATTTTGAAGTATGGATACTTTTGTTTTTTACTGGAGTTCGCTTCGCTTATCGGATATTGATTAAATACAAAGATTGAGAAACGTTTGTATCAAGTAGTAAACGAGATGAACTGGACATGAAAATTTACTGTACTAAACTATAAAAAGGTATAAATAGGCACAAACATTAGAATTAGCACATTCAAGTAGGTTAGCGCGGGATGTTAACAGATATGCGGGGTTTCGCTGTAAGTTAAAGGATAATTCGCAAAATTCAGTGCTTTTTAATAATATAAATTAGTAAATAGTTAATAGTGCTTTTTATAATAAGATACGATGATCAAATTTATAGATCATATTTTTAATAATTTGATACAAAATTAAGTGATTATCTGGTCTTTATGTGTATGAATATCGATTATCATAATTTATAGTCTATTATTCGTTGTTTGCTTAATTCGTTAATGCCAATATTTTTGGTTTAAATGCTGTTTATTGGTTTTAGGTTCTATGTTTGTGCGTGACAGTGGCCGTCGCCGCTGAAACCGGAAGGTACTAGTAACTGGATATACGTTTCTAAATTTAATGCAATAGAAATCAGTCTTAATAAAATAAAAACTTGGTTAGGTATAATAAGAAAAGTTATAATTTGTATGTGATGCTGGGTTGGAAGAAGATATAGCATTTTAAACACCCAGAAATAGATATGTAAATAATGTACTGCAAATATTCTAGGATTCAGCGGCAGGTGTTCCCTGCGGCGGCTGCGGACGCTAGTCGTTACAACCCGGGCAAATACGATGTAGGGCGTTACGAAGCTGGCCGTTACGACCCGGGTCGTTACAACCCCGGCAAATATGACAACTCCGGTCGCTACGTGCCTGACAATTCAGGCGCTTATAAGTAAGTAACTGGAACTTTTTGTAGTGAATACATTTTTTAAAATCGCATTAAATGTAAAAGCGACTGATTTTTCTATGTACTAAAAGTATTATACATTACTCTCTATAGTAATTTACATTGTGTTTATACAAATCGATGGTAGAAATTTAAAACGTCGTAAGGCACATTTTGTTGTAAAGGAAAATGATGTCTCTTAGGACATTTCAAATTTCCACTGTCGATATAAGGGTAATAATTTCGTCGATGTATCGAATTTTGAAATGTCGTAAGCGCTATTTTGTGGTAAGAATGTTTTTCATTACGACAAAATCTCGTCGTAATTTAATAAAAATAAACTTTTGCCAAATATATTTTTTGTACCTATTTTTCTTTGTCAAACAATGTACTCTTGCTACACACGAAAATAATTTATTTGTTTCTTTCCAAAGCGGTGATCGTGGTGACCGCGGTGGTGCTGGCGGTTTTTACACTGGCTCTTCCGACCGCGGCGGTCCTGGTGGTTTCTACACTGGCTCTTCCGATCGCGGTGGCCCCGGAGGCCCAGGAGGACCTGGTGGTAAATATGCAGGCCAAAACTACAACTCCGGCGGTGCTTCCAGGTGAGTACGAATCTTATAAGCGACTTATGAAGAAAACTATTCAAGCATATCTTATATAATTTTTGAACGTTTTAGTGGAAACCGCGGAAGCGTTGGTGGTCAATATACCGGATCCGGTGCAGGTGTGGGGGTAAACTCTGGTGCCAAAGTGAGCGCAAACTCCGGAGCCAGAGTGGGCACTAGTAGTGGAGCTGCTTCTGTTTTCGGAGCTGGTGTTGGCTCTGGGGCGTCCAGTGCTTTTGCTACCGCCAACACCGGCCGCTTAGGCAGCGGCGCTGCAAGCAACAGTGGCAAATACGACTACAAATATGGCATCATTCGTCAGGAAAACGACAACGAACCTGATGGTTACCATTACCTGTACGAGACTGAGAACACGATCCTCATGGAGGAAGCTGGTAAACTAGCGAAGATTAACAATGAGGAGTCGGCTATGAGAGTGAAGGGCTTCTACGAGTTTACGGCTCCCGACGGTGTCACCTATAGAGTAGACTACACGGCCGACGAAAATGGTTTCCACCCTACTGGTGCTCACTTGCCTTAAATCTAGTCCATCACAAAAACTATTTAGAGAATTATATAAACAGTTTTGTAGTTAATTTAAGGTACTCTTAATGCGAAAATACCGTTTTTATTGTGAGTCATCTGTACTTATGAGAATAAAAGATGTATTCCATGGTTTATTTCTTTTTCAATGCTTCATAATTTTATTACGTTACCATTAACATCAAAATTATTTTGGAAAATTTACTTAATGAACAAAGATCAAGAGGAATTTGTTTCGAGATAATTAAATAAAGTGTGATAATAGGACTCCATATTGCACGTTTCAGAACGGAAATTGTGTGGAAATATTTTTTTTATAATACCAACTTGCCTGATGGTAATCTACACGCCTGTCCATAACAGTTGCATTGCCACTCAGAGCTTTAAGTCGCAAAGATCTGAGGGGCACTGCCACTGCGCCTGTCACCCTGAGACATAAGTTGACAAGTCTCATGTGCCTGTCATTTCACCAGCACCCTTACCCTTAAAAACCGGAACACAGTAATGCTCACATTACTGCTTGGCGGCAGAAACAGGTAAGGTGGCAGTACTTCCCTGAACGAAGTCTTTCACAAGGAGCTCTACTGCTACTAAAATGTATGTAATAGCACCTTGTTTCATTGCATGGAAAGATCTTCTTCTTATTGTACCGATGGCATACGACGTAATGCTTGCCATCGTAGTGAAAGCTTTGCCAATCGGCGTAAGGTACTCGCCGATTATTGCCCACGGTGCCCTAGACGTACAGAAAAGGAAGGGTACGTCGTAGGATGTTGGGGAGAATGGATAGATCTGTCTGATAGAGCTAAAACGCGGGTAAGTGACAAAATATTTTTTTGAGATATCAAAAACAACCATAACCCAGTTAGATAGGGTAAGTTTCGATAAATCGAATACGTTAACTATTTTGAACAGTTTTTAAAAGAGAACTTTGTGCCCTGTCTTTTGCTGTTTAAAACGGATATTTGACTATTTGTCACTTAGCCTGGTTTTAGTTAGTGGACGGCAGAGGTATACACGGGTAATAATTAAAAATGAATATTTTACAGAAACTATTGTAAGCAGATTTATATGGAATTATGTATCAATTTGTGCTTAAAATATAGTAGAAGAAAAGGACCGAAATTTCAAATATTGATTGCGTACAACTAGAATAATAAAAGTTATTTCATTCACACTGCAAACAAATAAATCATCTAAAATCTCTGTTTAACTTAGTACAACTCTTAACTATCTCAGACATTTGCTTCATAAGCATAAACTCCAGGATTTTTCGTGTACATAACAAATATTACGTAGGTTTTATACGATGTACTATAATACTTCGAAGAGGTTAATAATAAATGTTTTTACAATTGATAGGGCCTTTTTGTTATAAAAAGTACGAATAAATATTAAAATATCAGTGTTATAATGAATTTATGTCGTTTTATGTACTAGTTTACTTCCAACAAAAGCCAGTATGCCGTTCATAAATATAGGTTTTTGAAGGGCATACTGGCCTATAAACGGTTAGCATTGTGGGCGCTAGATGAGATGATATATAGTATATATATATATATATATTATATTTCTTTTTTGTATGTTTGTTACGTGATACCTCCTGCGTTTGTGAACCGATTTTGATGTTTTCTTTTTTTTTATTGGAAAGAGCAATGGTGGGACCAGTGGGACCATCTATATTATATTATATTTATATCTATATACAATAAAACAATATACTAAATCCGATACAGTCCACATGCAAATTCGCATTTTTTTTGCGAATTTGCATGTGGGCAAATTTCTTACATTCGCTTACAAGTAATATCAATAATTGATTTTCTTCTAAAAAAATTTCGATCAACCTATTTTATTGTTATGGAATAATAGTTACAATGATTGTATTTAACACAGATCTAAGTCACTTCGTGTTGTACTGCAGCAAACAATTATTAATGTCTGATTGGTTTTGTTGACCGTTACGTCTTCCAAACCTGACTTGTCGAGTTCTTAAATGTTCGCGATTGTTACACATAGGAAATGAAACTATTTTTGTGGTTTAAGAATTTATTTTCTCAAAAGAATTATACATTCACTTAAATGAGAAACTTAAATGTAGTAACATTACATAAGTTATAAACACAGTACGTAGTGCGACAAGCGCTAAATGCATAAAATCTATGTAATACAAATATGACATTTTTAAGACGTGGATAGGTATTATATAGATAATTTGGTTTGTGATTTCAAACAAACCAACGTTTCGGGCCCTTTACTGGTCCGATGGTACAGGCACGTGACCATGGGACCTGTAAAAGGCGAATTTGGTTTGTTTGAAAAAACAAATACATGCGATTTATATCCGAAAATCAGTTTCATTTCCTATCTAACATTACTTAGTTTTAACATGGTTTTAACCCTCTCAATGTAATTTCTATAGTGCATTTTTTTAATGTAGAGGTCGTACCAAAGCACTACTTTTAATTATATATCAAAATTCATTATGGTTTCATCATGTCATTGATTAAATTATTTTATAGTTTATTTGAGAACCTAGAATGATACACAGGGCGCACTATAAGTTTCCGGAACTGGCCACTTACATAAACAATATATAAAAAGTAATTACAACATTTAAAAATGGAACTCTTTGGCTGTAGAATACATTTTGTTTCATCTGACTGTCATTTGTTTTTACATTGTGGCGTCATTTTAGAAATTGATTGTCTACATCACCATGGATGTAACTCGTGAAAATTTTCGTAGTATGATTTTCTACGACTTTAAGTGTCATTTAACAGCTCAGTGGAGCTTTGCTCGACTTGGTTTGCAGAATTCAAACGCGGTCGTGTAAATCTCATTGACGAATTTCTTGATGGTCGCTCGTCCACTGCCGTGAACAACAAAAACATCGATGGTGTGCGCCATATGATCAAAACAGATATGACATGTGATATACCACAAGATTCGGGCATCTTTAGGCATAGTCATGAGTCAAATACAATCAATACTACACAAACATTTGGGTGTGAAAAAGCTGTTCACTCGGTGGATCCCACACAATCTGACTGAGGCTCAAGAAACGGATCGCGTCACCTGGTGCAATGCCATGCTTATCAGATTCAACGAAGGGGCGTCAAATTTGGTGTGGGACATAGTAACAAGTGACAAAACATGGATTTATAATTACGATCCCAAAACAAAGCAGCAATCGAGCGTATGGGTCTTTCGAGATGAGCCGAAACCAACCAAGGTTCGCGTGCAAAGTGTCTGTAAGCGGATGATTGCTTCTCTTTTCAATAAAACTGGACACGTGGCTACTGCTGCTATGGAGAATCGTTGTACCGTAGTAGTGATTGGTACACGACAATCTGTTTGCCGGAAGTTATTGACACACTCCGTAAAAATAACCGTAAATGCCGTATCATCTTGCACCATGATAATGCCTTTAGATAGTTCTCACACGGCCAGACAGACAAATAAATTTTTAAAAGTGAACAACGTTGACCTTATGATTATGCTATCCCGCGTACAGTCCCGACCTGGCACCAAAAATGAAGAACCAGTTACGCGGTCAACGATTTTGATCACCTGAAGAGGCTGTCGAAGAGTATGAAAGATATGTTTCAGAGATTGTAACGGAGGAGTGGCATAAATGTTTTCAAAATTGGTTCATTCGTATGAAAAAGTGCATTAACGCTAACGGAGAATATTTTGAGAAACAATAAAATCATTTCGGACCATTTATAATATTTTTTTCTTATTCATTCCGGAAGCTTATAGTGCGCCCCACGTATTATGTTAGTGGCTTATATGCTTTCCAACATGACGAATGTGCCACCGAAATGTTACGATTGATAAAATTAACAAGAAAATTTATAAAAACTTTTTGTCTCGTATCCGCAATAACTGTAATTTTTACACGATTACATATAGTTTATTTATTTAGTAGCAGTAAAGCTCCATATAAAAGAGTTCGTCCACGGAAGTACTATCATCTTACCTATTTTTACCGCCAAGAAGTGTGATTATTATTGCGTTTCGGTTTTGAAAAGTAAGGGTTTTTTATTCTTTATTTATTTAGGGACTTTGATCGTTGTTGAACATGTCAGCCTCATTAGAAAAACAATACCTAAAGAAAACACTTAATGTAATCATCAATCAATACATCAAAATACCACGTATCCAAACATGTATACAAAATCTTCGCAGCACTACATGTTGGCTTCGACAAAACAGATTGAAACCACTCAACGTTAAATATATGGAAGCTGGTGAAATTACAGACACGTGACACTTGTCAACGTTATCATAAAAAAACATAGATGAACAATCTCGCTGTTGACTTTCTTAGTATGATGGTAGAAGACGACCAGTACCGATGCCAGTGCGTCCAA